ACACGCTTCCGAAATGTTGAAGAAGTGCGAGAATGGGTGGACGAATGGATTGCTTCGAAACAAACATCGTTTTATCGAGATGGTATCGCCCAGTTGCCAGAAAGATGGCAAAAAGTTGTAGAAAGTGATGGAAAATACTTTCATTGAAATAATTTAAATAAATTTTTTACAATAAATGCTTTTTCTCAGTATTTTTTGGGCGGAAACTAAGTTAAGGTCCTAATAATACATATCAATACTTTTAATTATACAATAATACCTTTAAGAAACTAAACTTTAAGGTACTCCAATTTTATCTCTAACGCATATTTTTATTAGTTCAAAAAGTATCTCGAAGTAAGTGTTTAGAAATTAAACATCTATTGCTAATTAAATTAAACATATATTGCTAATTAATTTTATCACTATATTATTATTTTCTAACAGACTCAAAAAGCAGACTGCAATAGGAAAAATTGATTTGTATCGTTTATTTCAATTAAATATCATTTAATGTCTTAATAAAAATATAATAACCGTAAAAGATTTTATTTCATATCCTTATGAAACAAAACATTTTGTTGCTCACTTGCGCTCACGTTTGAGCACTAAAATGAACAACTCGTCTTAGAAAATTATATATTTAATAATAAATTATTTACAAAGCTCTCGCGTTATCAATTTCAATATATTTAACGCGTTTTTTATCGTTACACATTTATCTTGACCGAAGACTCGTAGGATTCCGTTATTTCCTTTCATTGACTCGTTGTTGGGAAACGTACATTTGTACATTCGTTCAGAACTAGAACCCTCGTTCTTGTTCTAGTGATAGGAGAGTCGAGTATGTTGTTTATGTAACTTTCGATTCCCAGTAAATTGCTTATGTTATAAGATTTGATGGTATTTTTCGAACCCTTGTGAGAAAGAACAGTAAGGAATATAAAATAGAAGGGAGAACTTATAAGAAAAAAAATAATATACTAAATTTATATAAAAATAAAATTTATTGTGTTACGTCTGCAGCCGATTTACAATACAAATACCAACATTTGTTGTTAAAGTAAGGAAAACTGCAGAAAACCTTACTAGTATTTGAAACCGATTATATAAATTACATTACATAAAATTACAATTATATTACAAACAATTATAAAATACAATAATTATATTATAAACAATTGTTTACATATTCTTTAAAATGATTTTTTCTGAATTTCTATTAACTAATATACTCATATCTGCATAATGTACTAGCAACCTCGTATTAAAAATATAATGAACAGTAAATTCTTACTTTCATACGAAGATAACATAGATTTTTGTGATAGTAATTGAACATGCGAAAGAATAGCATAATGCAAAATATAAATTTAATTTATTAAAAGAATAATAATTTATTTGGAACATTGCATTATTTCAATATTATAATATTAAATGATATGTATCAAATAAAATAAAGGAAAAGAATGCCCAGATAACATGCATGTCAAAAAGTTATCTAAAAGAAGTCTTATCCAAAAAAAAATCTCATAAAAAATGTTGCATATCTAAAAGACATTTTATGCAATATTTTTTAAAATATCTTTTAGATATGCAACATTTTTTATAAAACTTCTTTTTTGGATAAGACTTCTTTTAGATAACTTTTTGACATCTTTTAGACATGCATATTATCTGGGTTATCTGGGCATTCTTTTCCTTTATTTTATTTCATATATCATTTAATATTATAATATTGAAATAATGCAATGTTCCAAATAAATTATTATTATTCTTTTAATACTAGATTTGAGGCTTTCACGGCCATTGATACAATGTCTAGATATAGCTTCCGGAAT